CCTATCCCTGTGTGCCTGCCTCCAGACTATATATAAATAGTGCAGTTGTATAGAGCCGAAGCTCTAAATAATCAAAGTAAAGCGTACCTTCAAATAGTGTAGAGAAATATAGGTTCAATACTGGAATCTTTGTGATAGCCTCAAAATATGTTTTCATTTTTACTTATAAAATTTAAAGTTTCAAAAATAGTGTAGATCAAGCAGATTTATGAAAACTTGAAAATGTACAGTCCAAAAATACGTTATAAGATGCTATATTTCCAAAACTTGAAATCCACTTTCGTCTCATGCCCATGCATGTTGATGTCAAGATGATCAATTTGAGGATATTTGGGCATCAAAACAACTTCTTCTAATGAAATTTTTGAGGTGGGTTCTAATTTGATTGTTTAGAGCCTCGACTCTATATAAGCTTTTCATACTTTTAATTAGATATGTAAAAACTTGAAAAATCATGAAAAAAAAAAGGGTCCAAATCCAGGTTTTAAAAAAATGGATTGGTAACCCCAGACCGTGTGTATGGATTTCTGATTTAGTTTCGTAGATCAGCAATTTAAATTGGTGATATGGGTTATTAAAAATAAAAAATACAAAATTGTGGGGTTGGTTTGGAATAGTTACAAAAGTGGTCGGTTATGTTAGAGAATGGGCCAAAACCGGTTGTGTCATTGGAAAACTAGTCAGTTACCGATATTTTACGAGAACAAGTTCATCCTCGATAGGTCTACATCATGGGTCAACATTGAACCCATACCTCTGTGTGGATGACTTAACTAGACCCTACATGATGAGGTATTGTGGTGCATGTTGTTTGTAGATGACATAGTTTTAATCGATGAGACCTGAAACAACGTCAACACAAAGTTAGAACTTCGAAGGGATACTATAGAATCTAAAAGTTTTAAAATTAGTCGGATTAAGACATAGTATATGAAATACAAGTTGAGTAATAATATGCATAGAGACAAAGAAGCTGTTAAGATTGACGGTCAGAAAATACCTAAAAGATCACACTTTCAATATCTTGAGTCGATAATTCAGAAAAATAGAAAGATTAAGGAATATGTCTCACACAAAATTAGAGCTGAGTGGGTGAAGTGAAGATATACAACTAGAATTTTATGTGACAACTTGAATTTTATGTGATCGCCGCATATCAATAATCTAAAGGGCAAGTTTTGTAAGACAATTGTGATACCAACTTTGCTTTGCGGAGCATAATGTTGGGTGGTCAGAAAACAATATATCCATGGAATGGGTGTAATGGATATGATAATGTTAAGTTGGATGAGTGGCAAGACCAGAAGAGATAGAATTTGAAATGAGTCTATTCAAAAAATTTAGATGTGGCATCAATAGGTGATAAGATGAGAAAGAGTAAATTTGGCAGGCTGGCATGTGTGACGTAGACCAAGTACAACACCAGTTAGAAGGTGCGAGTTAGTTAAAGTGGAAGGCAAAAGGCAAAGAGTAACCTAAAAAGACATGGTTGGAAGTAGTGAGAAAAGATATGGGGACTTATAGCCTTACTGAAAGTGTAACACTTAATAGAGCATAATAGCGGACTGCGATTCGCACGGCTGACCCAATTAATTGGAAAAAAGGTTACGATGATGATGATGAAGTTCATCCCCGATGATTTCTAATCAAAATCAACCGATTCCAATCAAATTGATATTTTTTAAACCTTGGTCCAAATAATGTATTATCCATTATATTCACGATTGCTTCTTTTTATATCTACATACACCTCAAATTCAATATCAATAATGGGAGGGTTTCTCCAATTTCATAGCATCATTTTGCGGTGGATTTTTAAGACATGCCTTACCTTTTTTCCATTTAGGGGAATGATTTCATGCATCTATATCAATGTAGCATAATGAAACCACACTTCTAGAAATCAATGTTTGTGGCATTTGTATGACCTCAAATAATGCACTACCCTTTCTCCATCCCAATAATCAACCTTCAAAAGGGCAAATTCAAATTGCACCCTAGATATGATGAAAATGAGTCGCCATCCAATAATAAATGTAGACTATATATTTATTGAATTTCAATATGTAGGCCTTTCCAAAATTAAAATCGATTTTTTGCTTTTTAATATTTTTTATCTAATAATAATAAAGCCATCTAAAAAATTTAGATGGGAAAAAAAGTCTTCTAAGACCTAGATATTAGCATTTTGCTAACATAGATATTAATTGGGCTAAAAAAATCACTTCCTAGTTTGTGTTTTCAAGATTTATTAAAAAAATTATATATTTAAAAGAGAAAATTATACATATATCCATTATTTTAAGTGTTATTACAATTTCACCTAAAATTTTATGTTATTACTACTCTACTCATTTTATATCTGTTATTACAACATATTGTCAATATTTTAACAAATAACTAATTTGCTCTTTTCGGATTTTCAAAATCTGAAATTTATTTTTGAATGAACTAAGTATGATTAAATTTTTAGGATTTTCAAAATCTGAAATTTTTTAATTTTTGGATTTTAAAAATTTAAAATTACAAAATAAAAAATCTATAATTTCGGAGTCCGAAATGTTTTTTATTTTGAATACTAGAGATTTGAAAATAAGATAGTCCATTTTTTTATTTATTTTGGATCCTATAGGTTTGAAAATAAGGAAATTTTGGACCTTAAAGTTCCAAATTCTTTTTTTTTTCTTAGCATGTATATCAAGACATAGAGCAATTTTGGAAAAAAAAAATGGGGGCTCCTAAAAAGGGTACATATATAATATCTAAATTTTTGAATGTAATAAGTGAAAATTTTAGATAAATTTGCAATAGTAGTTAAAATAACTTAATTTTCCACATATAGAAACCAAAATATATTTTTATTTTACTATATGTACAATCAGCGTTTTAAAAAACGCCGAGTCGAACCAGACTCACCCGTTTTAAAAAATTCCGTACGGTATTTTTTTTTTTTTTTTTT